AAATAATATCAGTCACTGAGGAATGGTAATAAAATATAAGAAATTAAATACTCTACAATGAATAGGCCTTAAGGGCTTTCAACAAAATAATATCAGTCACTGAGGAATGGTGTTAACTACACCCGTAATAAGGGAGGGAAAATGTTCCTCTAGGTATCTCCTAGAGACCTAGACTCACGGTCTCAGTGTGTGACCATTAGTTTACTCAGATAGCCTCAGTGTACTCCCAGTGCGTCCATAAAGCGGAAGGGAGTGAGCCAATCAGACCTTGTACAGTTGAGAGAAACTTTAGCTTCCCGTTAGCAAGAGGGTTTCACTAACTGCTCGGGACTATGTGGGGTTGTGTGCACGGGTGGTAGAACTGATCACCCTGCTGATGCTGGTCACGTGTCGTTTTTAGTTAGCCGGGAGCACTTTCGTTCCTCAAGAGATCCTTTGCTACCCAGCTAAGCAATGACAGGCCTACTGGTCGGTCCAATGGCGACAATCGCCACCCTCAATCATCAACGGCAGTCTCAAACGGCAGTCAATCTCTCGCAGTCAACTCCGGTCAACTCCAATCAACTCCGGTCAACTCCAATCAACTCCGGTCAACTCCAATCAAGTGGGTTCTGACGGAAACCCTGAAATGAACTCACTGTTAGCTCTAGTTTACTTTATCACTGCCCTATCTAACCCTGTCTGAGATCGAATGAGACTTACTTGTTATACTGCAATAGCGCAGCACAGGTGACTAGGCCACGTGACTATTTCTGATGGACGCGCGGAACGTCTTGTCTGTGTGAATGCTCTCCGGGACTGGGCCTAGCCAGCGTCGCGTCTCCCCACGGCGTTAGCTTGGTCCTACGTGATATATTTACCGCCTAACTAATAACTCCTTGGGACACCCGTAACATTATTCAGACTGCTAAGCGATCTATAATAATTTCAAATTCAATAATAGTCCCTTAACTTCATGAATCGCATCATTATTAATTCGGTAAATCACATTTAATATCATATAGGCCTAGTTCCGCAATCTCTCGCTACGAGCAGGCAGCGCTCCCTCCCCTCAGATGACCTTGAACGCTCAGTATCACTCATGGCGGGGCATTTGAAATTACTCTGAAATTTCTGGATATTACATATATATATATATATATATATATATATATATATATATATATATATATATATATATATATATATATATATATATATATATATATATATATATATATATATAGCGTGGTTTCATACTTGTTTATCATATGCAGTGCCTGCATAGTGAACTTTCACTTAACACAGTTTTTTTTTTCCACATATACGCGGTGAGTGTCCGGCTGAGACGCTATTTTTAGATTTGCCCCACCCGCCACCCTGCCTGACTGCCTGTTTTAGCTCATAAAATTTATACAAATTACCTGGCCAGAATATAATTTACATTGCTGGAATTCTTATAATTTGGTGATCATTTTGAATATAAACATCATATATTTTGCATTAAACATACAATTTTTAGATAAAATTTTTTCTCTAGGTAACTATGTTATCTTTTGTGCAAAATATATGACACTTATATTCAAAATATTCCTGGTCTTACAAGGAATCCAGCAATGTCAATTATATTATCCTAACTTTAGTTTGAGGTATTATTTATTAAAATTTAGTGGTTATCCCACACATCTCCTTGGGACGGTTGGTGGGGGGTGGGGGGGAGGGAGGGACCAACCGATCATCTGTTACCCTGTGAAGAATTATTTTTTTTTTTATTAACTGAAGATATTTGTTTTAGCTCATAAAATTCATACAAATTACCCAGTCAGAATATAATTTACATTGCTGGAATTCTTATAATTTGGTGATCATTTTGAATATAAACATCATATATTTTGCATTAAACATACAATTTTTAGATACAAATTTTTCTCTAGGTAACTATGTTATCTTTTGTGCAAAATATATGACATTTATATTCAAAATATTCCTGGTCTTACAAGGAATCCAGCAATGTCAATTGTATTATCCTAACTTTAGTTTGAGGTATTATTTATTAAAATTTAGTGGTTTTCCCCAAAAAATTTCTCTGAGAGGGAAGAGCCAGTGAGTGTAGTGTGAGAAGAGGGGGAGGGAGTTGAGTCCATTATTTGAATGGACATTAACTTGGCGACTGTATTTCTCTATTTCTCTTAAGTATTAATTGTGTGCATGTACCATCATAAAATTAAGATGTTATTTTTACTACAACATAGGTATGTGCCTTCAAAAACTGGAGTTTGGGGGTCGGGCCGGTTTCTATTGGAATTAATCCCATATGTTCTGTTGTTCACTTAACGCGGATTTCACTTAACGCGGGACCCTCTGGGTTCAATTGACCGCGTTAAGTGGGGTACAACTGTGTGTGTATATATATATATATATATATATATATATATATATATATATATATATATATATATATATATATATATATATATATATATATATATATATATACCTGAGCCTACGACGGGGTTGGGACTAATCCGGTGTGGTCAAACATAGATAACAAAAAAAAAAAAAAAAAAAAAAAATTTAATAAAAAATCTACAATGAAATACAGTACAGTAAAAGTAATGAATAATGATGAATGGATACAGTACAGTGAAAGTAATAAATAATAAGGAATGGATACAGTGTGACTGAGCACTTAACCTTTAATGTAGTCAGCTGAATGCACATGGGGCCCCCATAATTTTCTAATTATACATGGAGACTACATTAACTGGAAACGTTTCGGTATAGAAAATGCGTGTGTCATTTAAAAATTTTTTTTTTTTAATCTATATCTGAGGCGGTCGTAAGTCCCGACGGTCGTAAGTCGGGGTCTAGGTGTGTGTGTGTGTATATATATATATATATATATATATATATATATATATATATATATATATATATATATATATATATATATATATATATATATATATATATATATATGCGCAAGTAAATCACTGTGGATGCACCCAACCTTTTTGTGCTCGCGACCCCTTTCTCAAAACCTCGAAACACACTTGACTCCCCTGCCATCAGCCATTTCAGTTTTAAAAATTTTTCTGAGAAGGGAAGGGGAAGAAAGAGAAAACAATCATTAATTCATCAATCACTGTATTATTTTATTTTGTTATCATAAACATAAATTACATCATCTCTCCAACCTAGTTAGGTGGATGGTTGGGGTTGCATCTGAGCAGCGAGTCTTGGAATTCGTGGCGGGGTGTTTGTAAGAGCCAATCTCATTTCATCCTCGACATCCAATCTGTTCTCCCAAGGCTTCTCAACCCCCCAGCCAACCCTCCGGGGGTCGCAACCCACAGGTTGGGAACCCCTGACTTAGACCATAAAAATACACTCGTAAAACTTACCTGAAAGTGGCATTTGGGGTCTGAAGAGGCCACCCTTTCTACTACCTCCGACTGCAGCGATGAGTTTTAAACTAGTGACGTCATTGAAAATGGTGGCCCTGTCTCTAGAGAAATAAACTTATCTCTACTATTATAGCAGGACTTTAAACTTTATTACAAATTATATACAGCTAGACCCCGATTTACGACGGGGTTAGGGACCCAAATCCAGGTTGTAAGTCCGAATGGTCGTACTAAGTCCGACATAGATGATAAAAAAAAAAAAAATTAAATAAAAAATCTACAATGAAATACAGTACAGTAAAAGTAATAAATAATGAGGAATGGATACAGTACAGTGAAAGTAATAAATAATGAGGATGGATACAGTGTGACTGAGCACTTACATTTAATGTAGTCAGCTGAATGCACATGGGGCCCTGATAATTTTCTAATTATACATGGAGACTACATTAACTGGAAACGTTTCGGTATAGAAAATGTGTGCGTCATTTGGAAAAAAAAAATGGTCACAACTGCGGCGGTCGTAAGTCCCGACGGTCGTAAGTCCAAGCAGTCGTAAGTCGGGGACTACCTGTATACCGTATCACTCTACGAACGTAGCAGAGTGTATTTATTGTATTTGCCCAGAACTGTCAACTTATCCATTAGCCAAATTTATCGAGATTCTACTGTATACAGGGTGTCCCCGGATTATGAACGAGTTCTGTTCCTGAGGACGTTCTTAAGTTGGAAATGTACATCGGAACACATACCCTATGTGCACTATATCATAGCCTAAGTCTTTTATACATCTCAAATCACTTAACTTAAGAGAAAAGAAGAAATTGAATGACAAAATACAGTAAAGGAAAGTAAGAAATAAAGTTTTAACACTAGCATTGAAACCTGGGGTTGGCTGAGCTTCCAACCATATCACTAAAAATCTTTCCAATTCAATTAACAAACCAGTTTTTTGTTTTGTTATCACAGTTGAGTGCATTGGTGTAGATCCTTTTACACGTTCAAGAATTTTGTATTTGTCTTTCAAAATTGTTCCGATTGTTGACCAATTGAAGCCCAACGCTACCAATGACCGAGGGTGTTTCGCCTTTTTCAAAACGTTTAATTACATGAACCTTTACTTCCATTGTAATTGTTTTCCTTTTCTTGGATGCACTACTATCACTTTCATCAGGTTTGCATTTGGGAGCCATGATGAGGGCAGAAAAATAGAGTTAGTAAGCAAAAAAAAACCAACAGTTGGACTTGATCACACACATTACTGAGGTGAGGATAAGGCGTACTGATGCTCTCTCAAGATGTGTGGCTGGGTGACGCATTACTCCCCACCTGCCGCTTCGCCTTGCTGCTACACCAGGCAAACTAGTTCTCGTATGTTAATACAGTACTGTACTACGAACCAGTTGTACCTAAGTCGGAATCTTAAAATAATTGACCTTATGGGACCTTGTTTGTATCGGCGGGTGTTCGTAAGTTGGGGATCCCCTGTATAGATATAATATGGTGTGTGTGTGCGTGCACGCGTGCTCGAGCTATTATTCTACTGTATTTTACTTGTTAACTTGAAACGTGTTCCTTAGATTATATTCTGTCAAAGTTTTTTTTTTTTTTTAGATGAAACAGTTGATGGCGGAAAAAGAAGTATTAACAGAGGGCCTTGAAGTCACAAAAGCTAAACTTGAGGCTGCAGCACAAAACATTCCTTCACCTAGTGTAAGCCAAGAGGAAATAACAGCACAGAGAGAGAATTTGAACCACACCATCACAACCTTACAGGAAGAGAAGCTTCAATTGAAAGAACAGAATGCTGCTTTGGTATGAAGCACTTTTATTTTATTAGCAGTTGATTTTATTAACGGTCTCTTAGCTTACTTTTCTAATTAATCATTTATATCTAACATACTACTGGGTATACATTGCCATCCAATTGGGTAATCCTTTCAGAGATTACTACACGCACAATGTGAAGGAAACTTGATATCTTCTCCATGGTAGCACCACTGACCAACATGCTTCTTTCTTGACCCTTTCTTTACCTTTTCCTTACTCTTATACGGTACAGTATTTCATTTTTTATTGAGACTCCTTTTAACATCCATTTTTCCTTGTATCAATATCCTTTTATTGTAGAATTTCTATTCATCTGGATGGATGTCATTTCGTTATAAATTTTGTCTTACCCTAACATCCTCGTACCCCACTGCTCACTCTTCTTATTGCACATTTGTGTTGTAAAGAAAGGTATTCCTTGTAATAGCACTCTTTTTTTTTTTTTATTGCACACTGATCCTTCACTCCCAGACAATGTAATATGATAAAAGTGCATTTTCAACCAGATTTGACCATAAGTACCTGAAAAATTGCACTTTTATTAACAGTAGTTTCCTAAATTTTCTACCAACATATCAATGGCTGCCTGGTGTCTGTATTCATGCCACATCACCTGCAGGTCCTCCAATTCCACAATGGTCTTTTCATGAATGCTAATATTTCTTGATTTTATGTTGTTTACCAAATGTTTCTTATTTTCTTAGTTGATATTATTTTGTACTTTCCCTTGTATATATGCTTGCTAAGGTAACCCTTCTTCTCATGCAATTTGTATGTGATAGTTAAAATGTGATGAAAAATTCTTCTGTAAATGAATATTTAGCTTTAGTCTTTAGTACTTGAAGGTATGGTTATGTTTTAAGGAAAGTCTATATGTGGCCACCCCTCAAGTCCAGAGGGAAGCTAATGTCTAACATACTATAGATAAAAGAACAGATTGAAACTATATTTTCAGGTTTGTATTTACAGATGTGAATACAGCTCCTCCCCGACTTGCGACGGGGTTAGGGACCCAAATTCAGGTCGTAAATCGAAAATGGGAAAATAATACATAGAAATCTAAAATGGGTGTCTTTTTTTCTTCTCAGTACCACAAAACTCTCACTTTTAAGCTTGCCAGCCATTTTAAAGTGAATTACAAACGAAAATTTTGTCAGTACACAGCGCAATCACTGACGTTGGGATTTGAAAATACGTAATTTGAAAAAATTTTGGTACGACTGAGGCAGGTCGTAAGTGCGGGTGGTCGTAAGTCGAGTAGGCCGTAAGTCGGGGTAGGAGCTGTATTTCTTTCCAGTATAATAAATCTCAAGGTAAAACTTGTTTTTCATGATCCTATTTAATCAGAATTATGACAGTTTAATTTTGTTTTAAATTGGGTATTAATCTTCTTTAGATATATTTTTGGTGCCCATATAATGCATTTGTTTATATTTTATTTTCATTTTGTAGACTAATGACAACAGCCAGCTTTCAAAACTGGTTGATCAGCTGTCTTGTAATGTGGAAGAACTTGAGATGCAGATAGAGAGAAGCAAGACAGAAGAGGTTGACACATCTCAGCTGCTTGCTGCAATGCAGAGTGATAAAGTTGCTGCTGCCCGTGCCCTCTCACAAAACAAACAGCTAAAGGAGCAGTTGGAAGAATTACAGAGTGGCTTCATTATAATGGTAAGTGGCATAAATTCCAGTTTCTAAGTATCCTGATACTGATTTTTTTTTATTACTTTTCTTCAATAGCAAGTTCTTTCTTGGTCAAGGACAAGGTGACTGCCATTAAGAACAGCAGACTCACCCTTCATTTGCTACAATTGGTGTAATGTGTTCTTCTATGATGTTTATTTTCTTCAGTGAGGCCCCAAGATACAGTATTCTAACCATCTGATTTATCCCTGTCTCTTTACACAACCTAACAACATATGTCAGTAACACTGATATGCTCAACAAATAAAAGATTTGAGTTAATTCTTTCTCTCATTCTTGCTTAAATCCAGTTGTTCTTCTGTCATTTGGCAGCATATTCTTTAAATATTCACAGATATTACAACTGCTGTAGAAACCTTATTTGTTTTTCAGTTTGTCACTGTTTTTTCTACCCTTTTTTTATTGTATTCCGACTGATTCATTTTTGAGCTTCTTGATGAATTACTGTACAATGAATATAGCATGTTATATATAATGTTTATATAAATTGTGATATGTTTTCAGAGCAATAAGAAGTTGGAGCTCACAGAAAAGTTGGAAAAAGAATTGCATGTGAGGAAAGCACTAAACCAAGAGATTGCAACTTTAAATGAGGATATGACCAACATGAGGTAAGAGTCCTCTGTAATGTAACCCATAGAATTTCTTCAAGTGCCTTTCAGTCTCGCAATACATGGGTGTACCAGACCACCTTCTGTACTCTCCTTTATCACTATTTTAATACCACATCAATATATGCATGCTTGTTCGTATTGATTTTTTCTTTTTACTTATTTCTGTTTCTTGTTTAGAATAATTTTGGTTTCATTAGATGAAACCTATGCTGCTAGTTCCCTGCATTGTTTTGTGTGACTTGCTGTCCTCTTCAGTATACAGTAGGTGAATATTTATTCGAGAATGAATGGTTCAACCCATGACACAGGAAAGTCCTCTATAACTTCATCTTTATCATCTTTACTCCAAAAACAAAACTGTGCATTTTGGCTCCACCAGTGAATTAACATCTTTGACACAACTTTTGCTGTATCGTGCCACAGGTGTACTGGCACACCTGTTTTAGTTGCTGTCTTCTGCTGAATCATTTACATGAATTTATTTAATTTTATTGGTGTATGCAGTGGCTGCACATAATATTGACTACCGTATATACTCGTCTATAACCCCCCTTCGTATATAGGTCGACCCCGATTTTTTGACCAAGAAATCGTTAATTTATGATATTCCTCGTTTATAGGTCGACCCAAGTTTTTGAGGGTAAAGGAACAACAAAACCTTTAGAAAAACACTACGTCCTATAAACTTGTTTACCATTTATTATTACGACACTTTACACTGAAACGCGGGTAGTTTCAACAAAAATATTGTATATTTCCATTCAAGTATTTATTCAAGTCAATTAGGAGGGAATATTATTGTAATACAACAGTTTTTTAACTAAACCATTCGAAAAGCGATTACGGTAACATCTTTTGAACGAAAGAAACCGAAAGTCATTGTTTTCGTCACAATTTTATCCCACTTTCCACTGTAATACGTACGTCATTTCAGCAAAAAATATTACATTTCCGTGAATGTATTATATCAACCACAGTATGAATAGAATATCTCTAATGTAACAGCATTTTAACCGAAAACTATTAAAAAAACGAGTAACATATCTTGAACATCGAAAGGTTTGGTAAAGTCTTCTGTTTTCGTCATGTAGTTTATCCTAATTTACATTGAAATACATCACGTTTCAGCAAAACTACTATTTATTTCTGAGAATATGGAAATTAATATTTTTGCTGAAATGACGTACGTATTATAGTGGAAAGTGGGATAAAATCGTGACAAAAACAATGACTTTCGCTTTCTTTCGTTGAAAAGATGTTACTGTAATCGCTTTTCGAATGGTTTCAGTTAAAAACTGTTTTATTACAATAATATTCTCTCCTAATTCACTTGTGATGTAACAGTTTTTTAACTGAAAACGATTCGAAAAACACGTGTACCGTCTAGCTGATACGGCAGAGCCCTGGTCGCGGAGGCTTTGTGTTTGCATCGGCCCTTCTTAAGCAGCTTTTAATTTTAGCGTACGTTGAAATTGTGTTTACCGGTATATTTTTATTTTCTTGCTTCTTATTTTCCAGAAATATGACAAGTTTGTATATAATACAATGTTACGGTACTTTTAATTAACAAGTATTCATTTTTAAAAATACAGAAGACACCAAACAAATACCAGTACTACGGTTATTTGCGTGACTCTCCCGCCAAAAAAGACCAAACAGCTGGTACTCTCTCCCTCAGCCCTATCAAAAATAGCCCAACGACATCTTTCTTCTTTATTCTCTTCCAATTTCTCACTTTAACTGGTATTTTTTACTTCATATTGCCTACATCAGATAAACTACAGTAATTGAGGTTAGACACTTATAAATTTGATTACCGGGTCCTGGCAGGTGCCGTTAGAACCACCTGACCCGACCAGCAGTGTTGCAAGTCAGACAGCATTTTTTTAATCATCCATGTGCACGAGAAAGGATGGATGGATGAAGGCGGCATACAAATATGGCTTAAAAAAGTCTGGAACTTTAGACCAGGGGGACTGCGCAAAGAAAAAAGTCTTCTTGTGTGGGATATGTTTCGGTCACATCTTGTTGACAGTGTTACTGCTGGGATTAGGAAGGAAAACACTGATACAGCTGTGATTCCTGGTGGATTAACAAGTCTTGTCCAACCACTGGATGTTTCCATAAACAAACCATTTGAAGATGCGGTAAGAGTGAAGTGGAACAACTGGATGATAGAAGGCGATAAGACATACACAAAGGGAGGCAACATCCAAGCTCCATCACTAGCAACATTATGTGAATGGATTGCAGAGGCCTGGGATGCAATCAGACCAGAAAATGTGGTGAAATCTTTTAAGAAATGTGGGATTTCGAATGCTGTTGATGGAACAGAAGACGACTTGTTGTGGGATTATGAGGCTAATGAGAGCGTGAATGAGGATGAAGATATTGATGATCCTATGGCTGATGATGGTGTTGATCCATATGACGATGCTGTTCAAGGAGAGGACTGGGAGGAGCTGTTTGGCGCTGCAGATGATGACAAGGAAAATGATTTTGATGGATTTTAATGAAAATATTCAGAAATATGGTATCGTAGTATTTATTCAAGTCAATTAGGATAGAATATTATTGTAATACAACAGTTTTTTAACTGAAAACCATTCGAAAAGCGATTGCGGTAAAATCTTTTGAACGACGAAAGAAAGTGAAAGTCGTTGTTTTCGTCACAATTTTATCCCACTTTCCACTGTAATACGTACGTCATTTCAGCAAAAATATTACATTTCCATATTTATTTCTGAGAATATATTCATTCAGGCACAGTTAAGGTAAAATATACTTGTGATGTAATATTTCAATGAAAATATTTATAAATAAGGTATCGTATTTTTCTTTTGTTTCAAATTTAATTAACAAATATTGATGTTTCAAATTTAATTAACAAAAATTTATGTATCTATAAATAAACTTTTAAAAATGAATACTTTATGTTTTACATACTCCTGTGAATACCATACCATGCATTTGGCTACTTTGGGCTTGCTGTGATGACGCAAGAGATCTGCCCTGGCAACTGTACCGACACTCACAGCGGGTGGTGCGTTGGTGCGTCGTTTCCATTGTTTACTGGTAGTTACTGGTAAATATTTTTCAACCTAACGAAACTATTACCCGTATAGAGGTCGACCCCCAACTTTTTGCCAAAAAATTTGGTCTTAAGAACTCGTGCTATACACGGGTATATACGGTATATCATGATGAGTCAATCAAGGTTGAATAGAGAAAAATCATTTTACATTCATATTTGGTTCGTTTGCCTGAGAGGCCCAGGGGAATTCAGTGAGACATAGGCACCAAAGCTAATACACCGGTGAGAATAGTTCACCAAGCACTTATTTTACCCACAATGCACAGCTCTATGACGTCACTGTTGTAAACACGCATCATCTGCTCCCAGGACCAGTGCATCAAAAATTATGGTTGTGTGCAATATACAGGTGAACCAGCAATGCTCAAGTCCCAAGCAGAGAGCACATCAAATTGTACAGATTTTCCAGAGATAAGAAAACTTGTGATAAATAGATAAATGCCTACAAGCGCTCTGATAAACAAAGCACAGAGTTGACTTGAGGGTAGAACTCTCACATTTATTTTAAATTTTGTTATCTTGTTTTTTATTATTTGTGAGAGGATTTTCCCATTATTATTTATTTGTAAAAGAAATAGTTGTCCTAAGGACAAATACATAAAGGGATTATACATTTCTTTGCACACGAGTAGAAATATCCCCCCCCCCCCCTCTAGTCAGTAAATGTTATTCATGGCCATTTTGAGGACCTGACCCCCACGAATTTTAAGGGCATGATGTACTCAAAAGTGTTTATACATTTATTGATCAAATATGTTCAAAGTAACACAAACACTGTAATATAAAAATTCATCATTTGTAATTGGTTTTATTCTCTTCAATATTAACCAGGCAGCAGATGGTGGAAAAAGATCGGGAGATTGTACTCCTTAAAGAAAATGGAGAATCTCTTGGTGCACAGTTAATGTTGACACGAAGACAAAGCTACCATCAGAATGATACAAGCCAAATGACACAAGAAATTGAACGAATTACCAAAGAAAATGCGAAATATACAGAGTACTTGAGTGATCTAGAAGAGAAGCTAAGATTGTCACAGGTAAGATCAAAACTAAGACTTGTTCACAAATAAATTTTTGTATATCAATACTGGCATAACTAGGACTGTTACCTATTATTCCCATCTAACAGGGACTAGTCTAGACACATAACTCACGAGAAACAATTAGCTTGGAATTTTTCCGGGAAAATTCTCTCCATTCTGGGTCTGTGAATGAGTTTCTGAGGTTGTAAATCGGGTGCATTTTTAGGAAAATTACACAAAACTTCTGGAAACTCTCTTAAATCTTTTTCCGGGTTTGGGAGCAAATCCCAATGATGAAACAATGCGCAATTCTGGAAAAAAAAATCCCAGTACTGTACTGTACCTGGAAAAATTCCGGGTATGTGGGATTTTTCCTGGCTTCAGAGGGTCATCTAGTTACCCGGAAATCTCTCATCCCGGAAGAGCTCTACACCAATTATTCCGGCTAACGGGGATATCACTTTTATGGCGTTAGATGCTGCTAGGCATGTTCCAATAGTGAATAAATACTGTTAGCTTCAGTTACATGTTTTGTGCATTTACCAGGACATGTCATCCTAGGGTCTTTATGTATACTTTTATACTCTAGTGTTAAATGTCTACAGTACTTAGTCAGTGCTTTATATTTCAAGCAACAGGAGACTTCATTACAGATTAAAAGAACTGAGATGTCAAACATATGGCTATGGTGGTTGAAATTTTCAATCACCTGAAGATTTGCCCTAGTATGTATCACTTGAAGATTAACCACCCTAATGCCAGCTGAGGGTTAGGATAGGTTATTTGTACATTGAATTTGGCTAGGTTAGGTTATTATTAGGGTTGTTAATCTTCTGGTGGAACAACCTTGGAGGAGGGGGAGAGTCTTCAGGTGATCCAAATTCTTTAAATCTCATAGGACCCAGCTATAGAATTAGTGTATTGATATACTCCAGGACCTTATCAACTCTTCCTCAGATTCAGTCAGTCTTTTATGTGGTCTGCCTTTCAAGCCTATTTTTCATTATGCATTCCCATTACTCATATCATCTTGGTATGATGTCATCACAGGTTCTGGTAAAGACTTTTTTCTTTCCAATCATAAGTTTTTCATAACTTCCTTATGTATACCTTAACAGTTCTCATATACAATATTTCTACAATGTTTAGGAAGTCATTTTGCAAGCATTCAAACAGTGTTGTATTCTAGATTCTCTTAATCTCAGCATAAGTCTAGGCTGAATAGATTAACATACATGTATGTAGTTTCCTTGTAGGCCTGATGCACATCCTCAATTTTGTTTGCCTGAGAATTACTGCATCTTTTCCATCTTGATTACATGGGAATTGGGACACCTCTTCCATTATGTTTACTTGGTAATTTGTAGACTCCTTTTATAATTGTGTTTACTTCACAGTTAATGCACATATTGTTTAATTTTCCAGGTTGAGATAGAAGAACTTACAAAGCAAAACTCAGAACTACATAACCTCTTTGCTGAGTATGGTTCTAAGACATCAAAGAAAGAGAACTTAATGTTGACTAATGGCAACACTTCAGAAGAAACCAACTGTGAAGGTAGGTTGCCTAGTAACTGTGTGCCTCATGAAAAATTAAATGATTGATGCTCATTGGATGTTGTTTGAAAGTTAGACTTGTGAATTGAAATTGAAGTCTTACAAATAGATCAACTTAATATGGAAAATGCATAGATGTTGAGCTCTCAAGTAGAATGAAAGTCCTTATTTTATTTAATTTAGCTTGAGTTAAAAAATAACTCTAGAGGAAAATACTTCTTCGATTGATGCATATTGGTCTAATTTCTGAAACAGTACAGTGATGAATCTTCAGGCCCTAAGATCATGAAACATACACCCATTTCTTCAGAATAAACCTGGTCATGTTGTACAGATGTCATAGCTACAGTGAAACCTCGCCCAACGGGGGGGGGGGGTTAGGTTCCTCGAAAACGGTGTGTTGGGCAAACTTATGAGAAAAATAGGGTGGCGGGACTATGGCCGCGTATGGACTATTATCTCGTGAAATGCATACCTTTTAAACATTTCCATAACGCACAAATATGATAATAATAGAACTAACATTCCATAAAAATTAAACATATTAATGATAAGTATTATAAAATCATATTACTGTACTCACCGATCCATGGTTAGATGATTGTAGCATAACTATGATGACAATGATATTGTATATGTTGTGAAGCCTTCTGCTGATGGTGATTGAAACTGGAATGACTTTTATTTCTTACGATGGATCATCAGGATCATCGACCTCAGGCTCCAGATCAGCAAATGATGATGATGGTTGGGGTTCAAAGAGTTCTGGTTTGGCAGATGATGTTGATGGTTGGGGTGACCAAGACCTCAAGAAGAAGTCTTATTTTCTGTTGTTTACTTTTTCTATGCAAATCTTTCAAAATTTCTCTATAGAACATATATATCATCAAAGGCCCTTTTGATTTTTAAACTTCTCTCCATACGTTTATAAAAGGGGCCAGTCTCATCAGCATTAAACACTTGCTCTGGGGCATATCCTTTGTCCTTTATCAATTCAATCGGCATGGGCTTGAAGTGCTCTGCATCCTCTTTGTCTGCCGATGTCCCTGAAGCGGGGTTTAAAATTTTCAAACCACCCTTTGCTTGCTTGGAAATCGGTCACAGTCGTAGCATCACTCCCTGCCCCCTCAGTTTTCACAACATGAGCATACAAGCTAAGTGCTTTCTCATGTATTGCTATGTTATCGGCAACAGATCCTTTCTCATTCACTTGTCCACTGATCCTTGGTAGTTGAATTACCTTAGCACTAAGAGATGCAGATGCTTTCACATTTGCATGTATTTTGTTCTCATAACTACGAATTGTGCATATGGTGGATTCATTTACAGAGATCTAAAATCTTTATTTTCTCGGCTAATGTCATCACTTTTTTACTTTTCTTGGATATGCTATCGTTACTAGCATCACCTCTGCATTTGGGGGCCATACTGCAAGGACAAAGGCACACAGCAACATAAAAACACAAAAAGTTCCAAAACCGCTTTAGTACAATGTTGGTGGTACGAGCGTATAAGCAAGACTGAGTGATGAGCAGCTGCTGCTTGCGCAGGCATCTCCAACTGGCGCATGGCAGAGGTGGGGCGGAGGGGAGGGAGGAGGGCGAAGGCGGTGTGTTGTTAACCCGCGTATATTAAAATTTTCCGTGTTGGACAAATTATTTGGTCTCATACGTATATTTAAACGCCTACAGTCAAAAGCGTGTTGGTCAAACCAGCGTTGGGCGAGAGTTCACTGCGCTTCACCCCTGAGCAGTTGCTTCAAGTTTATAAGGGATTCATTCATCCTAACTTTGAGTACTGCTCTCATGTCTAGGGTGGTTCGTCTGTCCAACTGTTAGATAGGGTGGAATCAAAGACATTTTATCTTAATAACTCTTCTCCTTTAGTCAATAATCTCTCTTCCCTTTCTCCTTGCCGCAATGTTGTTTCACTCTCTTTTATAAGTACAGTACTTTAATGGGCGATGTTCAGTGGATTTTGCATTCTGTATACTGCCGGTGAGGCAATGGCCTCGTAACACTCGTCTTGCCTGCGGTACCCACGGTTTCTGTGTGGATGCCGGTCACATTAGAATACAGTGAGTTCTGCTATAACGCGTGTTTTGATAACGCGAATTTGATCGAACGCGATTTATGAATTCGGAACAATATTTGTATAACGCGAACTCGTTTGCTCTAACGCGATTCCACTCGAACGGTTGTTGTGACTTCAGTTCACGTTCGACATCACATGTTCAACTGAGTTATGTGTTTTGTTTGTGAACAATTGCAGAAATAATGTATGTAATATTTATGTATACAGTATACCTATATATTATAAGTAAATTGTAAAATTTTACATAAAAGAGAAAATCAAATTACATAGCGTTTTACACCCGCGCTCTCTTTACATCATACACAGTGTTTACAATTTTCGTTCGACATCACATATTCAATTGATTTATGTGTTTTGTTTGTGAAGAATTGCAGAAATAATTTATGTAATATTTATGTATACAGTAAACCACTCACAAGGTCCTACAGTCCCACTAATTATTTTATACTGAAACTTACGTTTGGGAAGCTGGATTAAACTGAAGATTACCGGTATATTAAAATAATAAAAATGTATTATAAACCAGTCTAACATACCGTAATAAACACAGCTGCTATTATCATCCCCCCCCACCCCCATTTGCCAGTGACAAGAAAGGGAAAGTGACCTTGACTGTGACCGCCTGTGGCTATTTTTAGCCGTCCTTGTGTTCGGAGGTGGTCAGTAATGCATATCTGTATATTTACTGATCAATATATTTATCTCCTATAAATAATTCATTTAAAATTTATTTTTTTGCAAAGAATATTCAGTAAATGACTGCATTAATTCTTGAAACTACCTACAGTGGTAAATTTAGGATATAAATAATGAACAGAAGTCACGTCATGGATTCGGAGTTTGGTCCTTAACGATCACCATAAATGTAGCCTCCCTTTGTCGCGAAACACGTATATAAATTAAAGAAAATACTTGCAGTATATTTAATATATTACAGTATATTATACAGTAGTACCCCGCTTAACGCGCTTTCACTTAACGCGTTTTCGCATATACGCGGTGCCTTGCCAAAGCTGAACTTTCACTTAACGCGGCATTTTTCATCATATACGCGGTGAGTGTCCGGCTCGAGAGCTATTTTTAGATTCGCACCACCCCCCACCCGCCTGACTGCCTGTTTTAGCTCATAAAATTCATACAAATTACCCAGCCAGAATATAATTTACATTGCTGGAATTCTTATAATTTGGTGATCATTTTGAATATAAACAACATATATTTTGCATTAAACATACAATTTTTAGATAAAAATTGTTCTCTAGGTAATTATGTTATCTTTTGTCCAAAATATATGACATTTATATTCAAAATATTCCTGGTCTTACAAGGAATCCAGCAATGTCAATTATATTATCCTAACTTTAGTTTGAGGTATTATTTATTAAAATTTAGTGGTTATCCCACACATCTCCTTGGGACGGTTGGTGGGGGGTGGGGGGTGGGGGGTGGGGGGGAGGGAGGGACCGACCGACCGACCATCTGTTACCCCGTGAAGAATTATTATTTTTTTTATTAACTGAAGATATTTGTTTTAGCTCATAAAATTCATACAAATTACCCGGTCAGAATATAATTTACATTGCTGGAATTCTTATAATTTGGTGATCATTTTGAATATAAACAACATATATTTTGCATTAAACATACAATTTTTAGATAAAAATTGTTCTCTAGGTAATTATGTTATCTTTTGTCCAAAATATATGACATTTATATTCAAAATATTCCTGGTCTTACAAGGAATCCAGCAATGTCAATTATATTATCCTAACTTTAATCTGAGGTATTATTTAATACTAAATGTTAAAAACTCTTGAATGGAGGATTGGTGGGGGGTGGGGGGAGGGTTGGGACTGACCACGCGGTTGGAAGAGGGGGGGAAGGCAAGGTGGGGTACTTTGATTGACAGATAGTGTCGAAGAATATTTTTTTTTTTTTATTAACTGAAGATATTTGTTTTAGCTCATAAAATTCATACAAATTATCCGGCCAGAATATAATTTACATTGCTGGAATTCTTATAATTTGGTGATCATTTTGAATATAAACAACATATATTTTGCATTAAACATACAATTTTTAGATAAAAATTGTTCTCTAGGTAATTATGTTATCTTTTGTGAAAAATATATGACATTTATATTCAAAATATTCCTGGTCTTACAAGGAATCCAGCAATGTCAATTATATTATCCTAACTTTAGTTTGAGGAATTATTTATTACTATACCTGGTTTTCCCCCAAAAATTTCTCAGAGGGAAGAGCCAGTGAGTGTAGTGTGAGAAGAGGGGGAGGGAGTTGAGTCCATTATTTGAATGGACATTAACTTGGCGACTGTATTTCTCTATTTCTCTTAAGTATTAATTGTGTGCATGTACCATCATAAAATTAAGATGTTATTTTTACTACAACATAGTTATTTGTCGTCAAAAAGTGGAGTTTGGGGGTCGGGCTGGGTTCTATTGGAATTAATCCCATATGTTCTGTTATTCACTTAACGCGGTTTTCACTTAACGCGGGACCCTCTGGGTTCAATTGACCGCGTTAAGTGGGGTACCACTGTATATAAATAAATAAACAAATAAATTCAAATTCCCTTATCATCCTGTGTCATATACAGAAATACTTGAGTCCCTGAGCGAGTACACAAAAAGAAAACGGACATCCTGGAGTGGATAGAGAACGGACATCTCTACTGGGGGACTCAAACGTTTCTCATGTTTTGTGGCCGCTCTAGCATAATATGAATAATATGTAAATTACAATTTACTTATACAGGTATATATATATATGTAAATTGTAAAAATTTAAATAAAAGAAAAACTAAATACGTAGCATTTAAAGTGTACTGTACAGTATGTACAGTGCTGTGGCTTGGCGCGGGGTTATGCAGTGTTTACAGTTCACGTTTGACATCACATGTTCAATTGATTTATGTGTTTTGTTTGTGAACAATTGCAGAAATAATTTATGTAATATTTATGTATACAGTATACCTGTACAGTATATGTAAAATGTAAAATTTTAACTAAGAGAGAAAAACAAAATACGTAGCGTTTTAGACCTGCGCTCTCTTTACTCCACACGTTCACTTTGCTAGACGTGAGAAATTTTCTAAGCGTCCTCAGTGCTTTCTGATTTACATGTGTTGTGCGTGCCAGGCGTACCATTAGAGCCAATGCAGAAAAGATTAAAGCAAGCTGTGTTGCTGGAAAAACCAAGGGAGCTAGCAAAAGTGTAAGATCACGGCCAAAGGAACTTGAGGAGATGGAATGGCTTCTAAGTGTTTGGATAGAAGATCAAACGAAAAAGCGATCTGGGACCAGCTTCCTCACCATTAAAGAGAAAGCCTTGTCAATATATGAGGACCTAAAGAAAAAAGCTGAAAATCCTGATGATGTGGTTGCCTTTAGTGCTAGTAGTGGATGGTTTTCTGGTTTTAAGAACCGCTATGCTTTTCATAATGTAAAGTTATGTGGTGAAGCCGCAAGTGCCGACGAAGCAAGTGCCCGGGCATTTCCTCCCACTGTAAAGAAATTGATTCAGGAAGAAGGCTACACCTTAGACCAAATTTTTAATTTGGATGAAACAGGTTTATACTGGAAGCGCATGCCAACAAGAACTTACATTTCCAAGAATGAAGCACATGCTCCAGGCTTTAAGGCTGCGAAGGACCGTGTGACAGTGTTGTTGGGTGCAAATGCTAGTGGAGACTTAAAGCTTAAGCCTGTGTTGGTGTATCACTCTGTCAACCCGCGAGCTTTAAAGGGTTACATAAAGTCTACTCTAGGTATTCACTTTAGGTCAAGCAAAAAAGGTTGGATGACGGGACAAATTTTTTCTGACCTTCTTGTGGATGTTTTTGAAAATGTGTTTAAAAAATATTGCAAGAAGAAGAATATAGATTTTAAGATTCTCCTCATTTTAGATAATGCGCCAAGCCACCCTCCCACTGTTGCTGAGCTTTCTGACAATATCAAAGTGCTCTTTCTACCTCCAAATACAACATCTCTCCTTCAACCAATGGACCAAGGAGTAATAGCAGCCTTCAAAGCCTATTATTTGAGGCGTACATTTAAGAAACTTATTGAAGCTACTGAGGAAGGAAATGATAAGGCCAGTGTTCTTCAGTTTTGGAAAAAATTCAACATCAAGCATGCAATTGACATCATTGTGGAGGCCTGGGGTGAAGTAAGTAAGGACTGCTTGAGTGGAGTTTGGCGGAAGCTTCTCCCAGATTTAATTCATGATTTTACAGGCTTTGATGCATCAGAGGAGCTCCCAAAAATTACAGAAAATTGTGTTTCTCTTGCAAAGCAAGTTGGCTTTGCTGAAGTGGAAAGCGCTGATGTTGAAGAACTGCTCGAGTCCCACTGTGAAGACCTCTCTACAGAAGATCTACAACAACTTGTTGATTCTGGGAAAATAGAAGATGCCGAAGATGAAGAAGTCCAGGATGCAAAACCACGAGAGCTTCCCACTTCTGTTTTATCTTCTATCCTGAGGGAAGTTGATACGCAGTTGCAGCGCTTGGAAGACAATGACTACAATGCAGAAAGGAGCAGGATTGCAGTTCGTGGTGTTAAATCTTTTTTGGCACCTTATGAACAGCTTCTTTGTGAAAGAAGAAAGACGGCAAAACAGCAAACATTAGACGTCTTTTTTAAGTCAACCCCCAAGAAGCAGACTGAAGACACTGAACCACAGCCATCCACTTCTGGAATTAGACGTTTTTTTCTTCCCTCCCATGCAACCAAAACTGCACCTGATGATGATGATACTGATGATGATGATGACGATGACAATTGTCAAATCCTGTCTGCATGACTCCTCAACCTCAACATTAACCTTCTCCCCCATCAAGTTAAATTCATATTTTTTCAAGGTAAAGTGTAACATTTACTGTATGATTTCATTATTAGATATGAATGTAACATTTATTTAGACTGTGCTATCCTTTGTGTTAGGCTAACTACGAAATTTTTTTTCGATTTGGAGTAATCTGCACCTAACCCTATTTTCTCCATAAGCCCTGTTATTTCTATTACGCGATTTTCTATAACACGATATTTTACAAGAACACAATTATCGCGTTATAGCAGAACTACCTGTAAACTGTTCTAATACATCCTTCTTTTCTCACACAACCAAACTGTGGAATGCCTTGCCTTCTTTTGTTTCACTTAAAAAATCTGGTGTTCCGGCCTCTTTGTGATGTAGATTAACGTACTCTTTTTTGCCCCCTGGCCCCATTGTTATTAATAAAGCACGGAGTGGACTTGAGGGTAGACTCAACATTTTTTAATAATTTTTTCTGATTATTATTTGTGAGAGGATTTTCCCATAATTATTATTTATTTGTATGTGTTTTGTGTGTGTGTCTACGCACACACACACACACACACACACACACACACACACACTTACTTACTTACTTACTTACTTACTTATATACAATACAGGTAAAAGAAATACAGTGGTCCTTCGGTTAACGAATACAATTCGTTCCACAGAGTCATTCGTTATCCGAAAATTTCATTAATCGAATCTATTATTTCACAGAAAAAGTACATACAAAGTACTGAATACAGGTAGTTCTGCTATAACGCGATAATTGTGTTCTTGTAAAATATCGTGTTAAAGAAAATCGCGTAATAGAAATAACAGGGCTTATGGAGAAAATAGGGTTAGGTGCAGATTACTTGAAATCGAAAAAATTTAGTAGTTAGCCTAACACAAAGGATAGCACAGTCTAAATAAATGTTACATTCATATCTAATAATGAAATCATACAGTAAATGTAACACTTTACCTTGAAAAAATATGAATGTAACTTGATGGGGGAGAAGGGTGATTTTGAGGTTGATAAAATCGAGCTTCTCTTCAAGTGTTATATCCTTTCTTTTACGATCATCACCGGGAATTCTATCACCAGAACGCTTCTTGGAGATATTCTTCTTTACCATATTCACAGTTAATACCACAAAATTGGAGAAATAGGAAGCAAAAATCGCGTTATAGCAAACAAGCGTTCGCGTTATACAAATATCGTTCCTAATTCATAAATCGCGTTAGAGCAAATTCGCGTTATCAAAACACGCGTTATAGCAGAACTCACTGTACCAGTAATAGAATTAACAAAACATTAAATATAAACTAAATGCAGTACTGTACTGGTACAGTATACTGTACAATAATAAATAAAAAACAATAGAATACTGTGTTTTAACTTACTTTGAGGTGTGTTTGTCGTATTACCGGCAGATTTGTTTATATATCAAACAGCTGAATTACCGGCAGATTTGTTTACATATCACACAGCTGATTGTAGAGGCAAGTCGATGATGATGCCATATTCTTTACAGAGTGCATTGGTTCTAATGCCTTCTTCATGTTTCATAATACTGTAATTTCTGTACTGTATATTATCAATACCGTATGTTAACTAAATTTCAGAATGACCAATAATTTTAATATAAAAAATGCAGAAATATTCAAGAGACCAACTTTATTGATATTTACTTCACTGAAAACGAATGTAAACATAGAACCAATTACTGTATTGGCGGACAAGCCGATCAGCTGATGCACACAATAAAACGTGTTTGTCGTAAGGATTTCGTAAATCGAAGTTTTGTTCGTTAATCGAACTGAAAATCCTTATGAGAGCTAATTCGTTAACCAAAATTTCGTTAATCGAACCGTTCGTTAACCGAGGGACCACTGTAATTGTCCTAAGTGCAAACACATAAGGGAATATACATTTCTTTGTGCACAAGTAAAAATTTTATTCGCGGATTTGGCGATTCGCAGCCATTTTGAGAACCTAACCCTCTCGAATTTGAAGGGCATGCTGTACATGTATTTTGTAAGTATTTTAGCTTTTTAGTATTTTTCACTGTGCTTATAAAGTTTCTGCTATCAATAGTGTTTCTTCTTTTTATATATTTTCAGAAAATGAGGGAAGTGGAATGTTATTGACAAAGGTTGCTGCCCTTACATCATCACTGAGCAAAGTGGAAATGGACAGGAGCAACTTGCAGTCTCAACTTGAGGTTGAGAAGGCCAAGTATGCTAGGTTATTGGAGGAATCCACAGCTAAGCAACTGTCTTCGGAAACTGTAATAACCTCTCAGCCAACAGGTAAATCAACCTTAACCAATTTCATATCCTACATATTACTTCTGCATCAATACATCTTTCAGATAGTTCTTCTAATGTATAACCTAATGCCCTGTGTTATCTTATAACATTATGTTTCCTTCATTTTGTATTGCTATACAATATGATAACTTAACAGCAATGCACTTCTACTGGTAAGAAGAATCAATGTACAGTACCTGTTACTTACAGCAATAATCTTGTGCTACAGTAATTAAAATAGATTACAGTATTAAAAATTCACTGAGTTTTCCATTGTGTGGTGGTATCCTTCAAGTTAAAAAAAAAATCTTCAATACAGGATATGGTAAGACCATAGTATTCCAGTAGAAATTTATTACTGTATAAATTATTTTCTGTACTTAAACAATACAGGCATCCCCTGGATTACTGATGGGATGCATCCTTGAAAATGTTTCCATATCGTCGAATTCCATAATGCGGGACCAATTTTTCCATTGACTCCCATTATATAATTGTGGATACTTTCCCAAGGAAATGTTTTTGCCAAAAATATGTGATACAAGCATTTTTAAACACATCCATTTATTACTTCATGATATAACATGATAATAAATGCATGCAACACTTGAATTTAAATTCACCAGAAATGATGTTGAGTGCTAGGTGAGGTGAGGTGAGGTGGCTCAATGGGAGTTACTTGGAGGGAGATGGAGGATCACTGCTGACTCTTACCTTGCCCTGTAAATCATCATAATCTGCTCAGGTGCTTCAGGCTTTTGCTCTTGGGGAAAAAACTTGTCTAAAGTTGTTTGGCATTAATGGTGCATTTCTTCATTGTACAGCTCCCTGTAGTTACGGAGGCTGTTCTGAATTCCTCTTGAAACTTTTGAGGTTACGTTCACAATCGGGATCATTAATAGCAAAGATTTGCAAAGCTTCCTCTATAAGCCCAAACACTTTAGCCAATTGCTTTGTTGTCAACTCAAGGGCAGTGGTTAGAACTTCTATATCCTCCTCTACTGCAGCTCGCTCCTGTTCCAATAACATCAGATCCTCATTAGAGAGATCTTCTCTATGGGACTCTAGTAACTCAACCACATCATCTTCAAAGCCTATACCATTTGCCAGTGTTACAATTTCTTGGTGAACTTCATTTATTGTTTCGACTTGAGGGAAAACCTTGAAAGTTGGGGATATACTTTGGCCATAAAGTATGGTTTTTTTCACACACCATTTATGGTTGTTGTTTTCAGTTCATCCCACGACTCGGCTATGTTTTCCACGGTGTTCATGATGTTGAAATTCTTCCAGAAGACCCTGACTATTGGTTTATCTTCCTTATCAATTGGTGCTATGAGTTCTTTAAATGTTCTTTTTAGATAATAAGCTTTAAATTTTGCAATCACTCCTTGATCCATTGGCTGGAACAAGGCAGATGTGTTCTTGGGCATTTATTCCACTTGCACATTATCAGAAAGATCAGTCAGGTTAATTGGGTGGCTGGGTGCATTATCTAAGGGGGACAAAGCCTTGTTGGTTATATTTCACCTGTTACTGTACCTTTCAATGCAGGGCAAAAATAATTTGTGAACCACTCTTGAAAAAGTCTCATAGTTATCCAAGCTTTCTTGTTTGATTGCCAAATCACTGGTAGTTTAGGCTTGGTATAGACCTTGGATTTCCAGAGTGGTACACAAGTAGGGGCTTTAATTCCATATTGCCAGCAGCATTTCCTCCCCAGGAAAGCATTGGACGATCTTTTGAAGCTTTAAATCTGGTGCTGACTTTTCTTCTTCGGAAATGAATGTCCTACCAGGCATGCGCTTCCAAAAATGTCCGGTTTCATCCACATTATACACTTGTCTGGTGTGTAGTCCTCTGCAGCAATAATTGTCTTCAGTTCTTCTGGATATTTATGTGCAGCCTCTGTATCAGCACTGGCAGCTTCACCGACGATGTTAATCTTATTCATCCGAAGGCACTTCTTAAACCTTTCAAACCAGCCTTTACAAGCTTGAAAGGGTTTTGCATCAAAACTTGCACCTTGTTCTTTCTGCAAATCATCATTCAAACCTTTGGCTTTCTCCTGAATGATCATCGTGTTTGTTGACACATTTCGTTAGTTTTATCTTCGATCCATACACTTAGGAGTCATTCCATATTAACTCTTAAACCCCCGGGTTAGGGTGCAGCTGGCAGTATCTTCCCCCACCTCCTGCAGGGATAAATCGAGAAAAAATCAACCATTTCAAAAATAATAATTAAAAAAAATATGGCGGGAATAGGCGGACGTTCTGGAACATCACCCGGGGCCTAAGGGTTAAGCATCACATCACTTCTATGAAAGCACAATGTACAGGCGGTTAAAGGAGTGGCTGGTTTAGCATTTGACTTAATTTTGTTTCTTTTATCACGTATTTTGCCCACTAGACGTAGCAAGGCCTAATGTTTTTCCGATGTTGCTAAGATTTTCTCCCGCAGCAAACCTCCTTAAAACATCAAGTTTAATGTCCAACGTAATTCTTTTACGTGACCTTTTAGCACCACTGCTTTCACTTGAACTTGATGGTATCTTGAATAAGGATACACAATAATACAGTCCTGACCACAGACACAAAACTGAACAAGCTGGGGAATGAAATGAAACTGAGTAGCACCGTTAGCGTGGGTACGTGTGCCATCCTCCACCGTCTTGTAGCAACCACCAAGAATCCACACGAAATAAATTTGATAATTTCAGTGAAATTTTTTGTTATACTGTACATCACAATTTTTTTTGTTTGAGAAACTTAAAAGTTTACCCCAATGGGTGTATTTTTTTAGACCTATTCTGAATTTATTAGTCATAATTTCCAAATTTCGTAAGCACTGGGGTAAGGGACTGGTAGTCAGCACAGAGGGGTGGAAGTTTATTCGCCATGGAACCACATAAATCTCTATTCTTGTCTGCTATATATTTTTTTTTTTACTATATTTTGTAAATATTGTTCCAATCTTCTTCTTATTGAATAGTACAGCATGCCCTGACAATTCGCGGATTTTTAATTAGCGGACCTTGGTTATTCGCGGATGACACCCTGGATGTACCCAAGAATGTCTAAGGGCAGTTTTAAAGTTGACGGCATTTTCGCGGCCGGGACAGGGAGCCATTCATATATGTGTGTGTGTCTACACACACACACACACACACACACACACACACACACATATACAATGCAGGTAAAAGAAATAAAAATAATTGTCCTAAGGGCAAACACATAAAGGGAATACAGTATTACCCCGCTTTACACGGTTTCACTTTCCATGATTTCTCATTTACGCGGTACCTTGCCAGAACCGGACGTTCACTTTCCGCGGTGCATCTACTCATATACGCGGTGATGAAGTATAATTTTTTTTTTTTATTTAGCTCATAAAATTCATATAAATTACCCGGCCAGAATATAATTTACATTGCTGGAATTCTTACAATATGATGATCATTTTGAATATAAACATCATGAATTTTGCATTAGACATACAAATTTTAGATCTAATGTAATAACTTGGTTTACACAAAGCAAATATTTTATCTTTTGTGCAAAATATATGAAGTTTACATTCAAAATATTCCCTGACCTGCAAGGAATCCAGAAATGTCAATTATATTATCCTAACTTTAGTCTGAGTTATTATTTATTACTAAAAATGTAAATACTTGTATACTATTTTCTCCCAAAGCTTCTCTGGTAGGGAGGGAAGGTGGGGGGTAGGGAGGGAGGGAGGGAGGGACCGACTCAGCTAGGGTGGAGTATTTTGATTGACAGATAGTGTTCTTGAAGAATATTTCTTTGTTTATTTACTGAAGATATATGTTTTAGCTCATAAAATTCATACAAATTACCCGGCCAGAATATAATTTACATTGCTGAAATTCTTACAATATGATGATCATTTTGAATATAAACATCATGGATTTTGCATTAGACATACAAATTTTAGATCTAATGTAATAACTTGGTTTACACAAAGCAAATATTTTATCTTTTGTGCAAAATATATGAAGTTTACATTAAAAATATTCCCTGACCTGCAAGGAATCCAGAAATGTCAATTATATTATCCTAACTTTAGTCTGAGGTATTATTTATTACTTAAAGTTAAAATCTAGTATTTTCACCCAACGTTTCTCTTGAATCGGCTGCTTGTCCAATTAACCAGGCCGTTCACATATATTTATCATTTTGGGTTTAAGTAACGAAACCCAAACGGTAGTTCCTTGTTTTATTATAAAAGGGTTGTATATATAATTCCTGAGTGTAGATCGACCGTAAGTCTCACTGTATAGGAGTGAATGAGAAAGGGACGGCGTTTATGTCTTATAAACGTTTGGTCACGCCCTTACGATATAAGTTGTTGTGAGCGACTCATGAGTAGTGACCCATCGAGGGAGAACGGTATGGGTACGTCGTTCCCCCTCGAGGGAAGACAGAGCCATCCACTGCGGCTCTCAAATAACGTCTTCCTCTAGTCAAGGATATCAAACTACTGCTCGCTTCAGGTGGCCAGAGCCGGCTAATTATGCCTTTACTCAGCATAGTATGATGCAGCTTCCTGTGGGCACACCTTATCACGTGCATTGAACATGTCACCTCATAGCCAGTGGAAAGTTACAGGGTGGTAAATCTGAATATAATATCAGATGTATTGACCCATTTATATAATATGTTCTGTTGATGAGACAGGGATCCATTACACTCTGGTAGGGAGGGTTGGGACGGACCGACCCAGCTGGCGTGAGTGTGAGGAGGGGGGGAGGCAAGGTGGGGTACTTTGATTGACAGATAGTGTCGTGAAGAATATTTTTTTTTTATTAACTGAAGATATTTGTTTTAGCTCATAAAATTCTTACAAATTACTCGACCAGATTATAATTTACATTGCTGGAATTCTTACAATATGATGATCATTTTGAATATAAACATCATGGATTTTGCATTAGACATACAAATTTTAGATCTAATGTAATAATTTGGTTTACACAAAACAAATATTTTATCTTTTGTGCAAAATATATGAAGTTTACATTCAAAATATTCCCTGACCTGCAAGGAATCCAGAAATGTCAATAATATTATCCTATCTTTAGTCTGAGGTATTATTTATTACTAAACATTAAAATCTAGTGTTTTCACCCAACATTTCTCAGAGAGGTAGGAGCTAGTGAGCTGGAAAGAGGTGGGGGGGGAGGGTGATTTGAGTCCATTATTTGAATGGACATTAACCTGGCAACTGTATTTCTCTTAAATATTAATTGTGTGAGCATACCATCATAAAATTTAGATGTTATTTTTACTACAACATAGGCATTGTGTCGGAAAAAGTGGAGGTTGGGGGTCGGGCCAGTCTCTATTGGAATTAATCCCATATGTTCTGTTGTTCACTTTACGCGGTTTTCACTTTCCGCGGTACCCTGTGGGTTCAATTGACCGCGTAAATCGGGGTACTACTGTACACATTTCTTTGCACACGAGTAAAAATGTACCCCCCGGTCAGCAAATGTTATTCGCGGCCATTTTGAGAACCTAACCCCCGTGAATTTTAAGGGCATGCTGTATAGTTACTAGACCTTCTTCTGTAATGGAAGATTTTGGATATGTGAGGTTCTATTGTAATTTCCAAGTAATATAAATAAGCAGTATTGCTGAGATAAAAAAAAATGGGTATTGTTTGTCTTGATATAATATTTTTTAAGGTTACCCCCTTGCCTTACATTTCAGCAGCAGCAGACAAAAACATGTCAATGGAGAATCTTCTCAGCTTGCAGGAAGCTCATAAGGCCCTCGAAGAGAGATTTAGTCGTAGTATGCAAGAGGTGGCAGAACTGAGTGATGATAAGCAGAGTTTAGAGCATGTAATAATGCAGCTGCAAGTTGAAACAGAGACTATAGGTTGGTACCATGATTCAGTCAAAATTTTAATAAAATTTTTATGTATCGGTATTGATTGCTGGAAATGTTCATGGTGTATTTTGCAGTCTATCTCCTGCTGTGAATTTTATAAGAAATCACATGACCATTATTCTAATTTATATATCTTGTTTTTCAGGTGATTACATCACCATCTACCAGTTCCAGCGAGGGGTGATGAAACAGCAAGCACGAGAACGTGAATTAGAACTGTCTAGTCTAATGCATGAAAGAGAAGAAATGAAGAGTAAACTGGCAGTCTTACAGGTTTGAAATCTATTTTTGTTCTTTAGTTTTTGCTCATTACTCTGATCTTAAGGCTTTAAGGAATTGTTCCTCTGCATCCTTTATGTCATTGTAAGAACATTGAAGGTGGGTTAGAGCTGGGAACTAAGGATGATGATTGATAATAATTAATGGTTCATTGAAAATTCAGCAGGGAGGGTGGGTTATTGAACATAAGATTTTAATGCAAATTCACTACAAAAACAAAAAATAAATTTGGCATGAACATACAGTGGTCCCTCGATTAATGAACGGTCCAATTAGCGACATTTTGGTGAACGAATTAGCTCCCATAAGGATTTTCAATTCCATTAACGAACAAAACTTTGATTAATGAAAGCCTTACGAGAAACAAGCTTTGTTGTGCGCATCAGCTGATCGGCTAGTCCGCCAATACAGTAATTGGTTCTATGTTTACATTTGTTTCCAGCTGATCGAATCACCCACCAGCGCTTCTCAGTTTATCTTTGTTTACAGTGGAGTGAACATCGAGTTTGTTGGTTCTCTTGAATATTTTTGCATTTTTACATTAAATTTATTGGTCATTCTGAAATTTAGTTTACATATTGATAATTACAGTGCAGAAATTATTATGAAACATGAAGAAGGCATTAGAACCAATGCACTCTGTAAAGAATATGGCATGTCATCATCGACTGCCTCAACAATCAGCTGTTTGATATGTAAACAAAGTTGCCGGGAATACGACACATACACACCTCAAAGTAAGTTAAAATATAGTATTCTATTGTTTTTTATTTATTATTGTACAGTATACTGTACAGTACAGTACTGTATTTAGTTTATATTTAATGTTTTGTTAATTCTCTTGCTGATATACAGTACAGTGGTCCCTCGGTTAACGAACGCAATCCGTTCCAGCAGGTTGTTCGTTAACCGAAACCATTGTTTCAATGGGTTTTTGGGTAATTGGTTCCAGCTCACCGAAAATTGCCTAAATTCAACAAAAATGGTAGAAAATTTCACTTACTTTGAGGTGTGTATGTAGAAGGCTCCTGGATGATGATGATGGGAATAAGAATGGGGGTGGAGGAGAAGGAAGAAGAGAAGGCATTGGGGTGGAAGAGAAGTCACCCCATGGCACCATTTCACCCATAAAATTTTAGTTCTCTTGGTATATTTCAAGATTATTTTCTTTAAATCAACACTGCACTGCATTATATATTGTCAATATGTAAAATATATTTCAAAATGACCAATAATTTGCTTGGAAACACAGAAAAAAAGCGTTTAGTTGAAGAGAGTCTCAAGCAAGATGTTACCTCCAGTGAAAACAGAGAGAGACTAACGCCTGTTTGCTGTGTTAAGAGGCTGGATGCCGCGCATTAAACTAGTCACTTTACCTCCAATTATGTTCAATAATTGTTAAAATGGCTAAAAAATTTAATATTAAACTTTTAAAATTATTGAATAGTATAAACTTCTTGATATTTACTAAAATAGTAAGGAATTTAAGCCCTACAACCGATTAATGTATTGGCGGACTAATACTAAAGCTGGTTGACCGGCCAGTGCAAGTGCAAACATGTTGAGGTCGGTTCGTAAGAAATTCGTTAACCGAATTTTTGTTCGTTAACCGAATTTAAGAATCTTATGGGAGGCAGTTCGTTAACCGAGGGACCACTGTACTTTGAATGTATACTTTTTCTGAGAGTTGGAACCAATTACCCAATATCCCATTGAAATAATAGATTCAGTTAATGAAATTTTTGGTTAACAACCGACTCTGTGGAACCAATTGTGTTCGTTAATCGAGGGACCACTGTATAATAAAATCCTTGATGATTTCATACTGGTTGGAATGGATACGCTCTTTTAAGTATTATCTGAGCAAGGTTGTATGGGTTTGATGCAGTTGTGGTGTCAGAAAACATTTCTTCAACTGAAGAACCTAAGGCAGAAGGTGGTGGTAATGAGGATGCAGTAGAAACTGTCCCAAATTGACAGTTGAGGTCACAAATATGATAGAAATGGACATTTTAGCAGGCCCTAGAATGTGGCTGGAAGTCTTTCAAATAGGGTGCTACAAGAAAATGTTCAAGATGAGTTTAAATTGATAGGAAAAGAAACGAAAGAGTATTAAGATTGTTGAGAGTAGTGGAAAATATACTGGAAAATTATAGAATAAGAAATCTGAGATACTTTAGATATGTAATTAGGGTTGTTGGGACAATGTTAGAGGTGTTACTATTTACTTTTATCCTCTTCGCCACTGATCAGCTCATTAGCTGCTTGGGTGGTCGGTCACATCTCTGTTATACACTGTTGGGAAGTACTGGGCATAAACTGGCTTCTGAATGTATCTGAACCTGTTCCAGTGTTGTTCAAGTTTGGTCTTGAAACAGCTCACACTCGGTACCATCAAAACACTCTTATAACAGCTTTTGGAGCTGTCATATAACAGCCTTGAAGCTGTCTAGTTTGTGGGTTAAATTGTCAAAACCCAAATGGTCTTTTCTCCATTATTTATAAAAATAATGTTTGTACACTTCAATAAGGAGAATAGCATAATTAACACTGTAAGCTTTGCGTGTTAGAAGAAGGATGGGGCTTAACTGGGCTAAGCCTAAGTTCAATGTCCGGCTATTGTGAAGGTTGGGTAGATACTGCTCAAGAGTCCACTCCAAGAGAGCTGACTTAGGATATACTGGAGACACGCCTTCTGGGTGGTAAATACCCATCACGTGCTCTGAACATGATACCTCACAGCTTATGGAAAATTACAGGGAGTGATATAATTTTATAGCACAAATGTATTCACCCGTATTTATGTAAGTGCTGCTGTCTCATGGACAGGGTTAATACACTCTGGCAGGTTGTTCCAAGAGTTCACAATTCTCACTCTGAAAATGTTTGCCCTCACAGTTTTCTGGACTTGCAGTTTCTTCAACCTTGAGCTGTTACCCCTTGTGGGGCAGGCTTCCACTTGCTCCAGGTATGGACACTCGACTGAGAAGTGCCCTTTGAGATGTTTATTCACCTCAATTAGGTCTCCCCTTGCCCGTGCAGACATTAGTCTGGTAGCCCTCCCTTGGACATTTTCAATCAACTGAGTGTCCCTAGCATATCTCGGGGGACCAGACTGGGTGACCATACTCCAGGCGGGGAAGCACCCAGCTCTTAAAGATAGTTACGAGGGACGGCTCGTCTAGATATCTGAACAACCTTCTTATAAGACCTTATATTTTAGTTGCTTGATACACCTTATTCTCACAATGGCCCAAGAACTTCAGTTTATTGTCAACATACACACCCAGGTCTTTTTCACATTCAGTCTCTATGAATGCTGTTTCATTGTCCTATCAAGACATATGATATGCCTCCTTAATGTTGGTACGATCCAGGTGCATCATCTTACATTTCGTGACATTGAATCTTAGCAGCCATTTCTTCGACCATTCTTGAAGCTCGCACAGACCTTTCTGCAGCACATCACAGTCTGTTTGGTTTTTAATTTCCCTAAATAACTTGGCATCATCCACAAACATTTGTATGGAGTAGTGTACAGCTTCTGGCATGTCATATATGAAACAAACAAACAACAATGGGCCCAATACACTGTGGTACCCCGCTTGTCACAGGTACACATTACGATTTCATACCATTAATCACTCCACACTGCTTGCGCTCATGCAAACAGTCTCCAATCCACGCAAGGACACTTCCCCGAATGCCGTACCCTTCCAGGTTAATTTTCGGCCCTTCGTGGGGTATGCTGTTGAAAGCCTTGGCAAAATCAAGGTATATATTGTCGATATTGCCACCCTGTTGCAGAATTTGGGTCCAAACATCCATTACCTTGAGTAATTGTGTTAAACACGAGCATCCTTTGCATAAAACTGTTAGCACTTCTTTACAAGGTAGTTTTGGAGTAGATGTTCCATCATGGCATCTCTTAAAATGCTCTCAAGTACTTTATACACTAAACTGGTCAGGCTCACTGGTCTATAATTATTTGTGGAGTGATGATCTCCCTTCTTGAAAATAGGACTCCCATAAGCCATTTTCTAATCACTGGGAGCTTTTGCTCATCCAGGCATTGAACAGGATGTTCAGGGGCTCAGCAAGCTCCTTGCACAACTCTCTTAACACTCTGGGATGTATCATGTCAGGGCCAGGACTCTTTGCACCTGTAACTTTAACTATTTATTTCTTATAACCTCTTCTGAGAACACAGTGTGGGTCAGTGCTGTGTCAAACCATCTGTCCTCAATCTCAGGAAGAGTGTTCGCATACTCTCTTGTGAACACCGAGAAAAGAAACTGTTCAATGCCTCTGTCTTGTCCTGGTCAGATTCTGCATAACTACCATCTTCAAGTCTCAGGAACAATACTCCTACTTGCATTTTTAATTTTGACTTTGAGTAGTGGTAAAATGCCTTTGGGTTTGACTTGACGTCGCTCATAATCCGCCTCTGGAACTCCTTTTCAGCTCTTCTACACTGTAACTTTGCTTGGTTCCTGGATCTAGCATACATCCTCCTGTCCTGCTCATCATTTGTTCTAACCCACTTCTTGAATTTCTGAGTTCTCTTAACTTTGTTTCCGCCGCATGGTTCATGTGTAGCGGTCTCCTTGTATTCCTGGAGGGACTGGGTTTGGTCTTGGTTATATATTTATCTATCGAATGGTTCACTTTACTGGCTATGATATTCAGCGTAGTGTCTGCATTTTTATGCCTAAGTGAGTCAGGCCAGTTGATACCCCTCATCTCCTCCTCCATCCCATCATAATTACCTTTGTAATATTTGAATCTTGGCCTGGTTTTGTCATGAACCAATTAACAGTTAAATCTGTAATGGCTGCATGCTCGCCTTGCAAGCGATTGGACCTGGGTTCAATCCCCGGGCAGGGTAATACTATGGGCAAGTTTCTTTGTGCCATTTGTCTCTCTACCCAGCAGCAATTGGGGACCTGGATGTTAATCGATTTGTGGATTGTGTTCTGGGGTAATGGTTAACCAGTGCTGTTGGCGAGTTGTCCGGTCTTCTCGGACTGTTCCTTGACATTGGGTCATGCAACTCGTTAACTTAGTGTGTAGTTGTTGTGTTGGTGACAGCTTCTACACCTTAAACAAATTCACGTCTAGGTGGCCCTAGCGCCGGCCATCCTCAATTTCGAGGGGCATCTATTATATATAATTTTACCCATTTTTTTATCTGACAAGTTTGCTTTGTTAACCATTTTTGTATTGTATTGTACTAGTGAGTATGGATAAATTTTGATGACTAGCTTGAGAGAAGAGTATTACAGGAATAAATGTAAGTTTCGGTTACTTGTAACCCTATGGTTTATTTTATTTCAGGACTTAGTATCAACTCTAGCACAAGAAAAGGGACCAGGTCATGAACAGCTGATAAAAATGACAAATGTTATCAAAAATCAAACTTCACTCACCAGTGATATAGGTAAGTGAGATTTACAAAGATGAAGTTGTACCAATTCAGATTGGTGTATGTACATTAATATCCCCAACAGCCGGCATCTTTGATCCCAGAACTTTCCAATCTTTACCTAACCTTTATCTAACCTTTACCTAACCTTTATCTAACCTTACCTTTACCTAACCTTACCTTTACCTAACCTAACCTTTACCTAACCTTACCTTTACCTTACCTAACCTTTATCTAACCTTACCTTTACCTAACCTTACCTTTACCTAACCATACCTTACCTAACCTTTACCTAACCTTACCTTACCTAACCTTTACCTAACCTTACCTTACCTTACCTAACCTTACCTTTATCTAACCTGTACCTAACCTTAACATGCCTTACCTAACCTAAATGTACCTTACCTAACCTTTCCTTTTTTATAATCCATTTGCAGAGATAATCAAAGGTTAAAGTGCATAATAGTGGCATCCTAAGTTTCGTTTATATATGATCAACAGATTTATAGATATGTTGGAGAAATGATTATAAAAAGTTTGTTATCTTTGCAAATGTATTTTTTAAAAAAGAAATTGAAATTTTCTAGAGAATTTAATTGTTTGTCATCTGCATTTTAGCTTTCTTAGGTTAGGTTATTTAAGGTAAGGTAAGGTAAGGTAAGGTAAGGTAAGGTAAGGTAAGGTAAGATTAGATAAGGTCAGGGTTTGTTAGGGTAAGATACATTTCACTAAATTTGCAGTGGAAAAAAAAATAACTACTGAATGTATCGGATAAAAAAACCTATGACCATAATTCTTTTTCTAAGAAAAAAAATGCAATACCACTGTTAATTTTTACCCCCTTTTTTATTAGGTTTGATGAACTTAGATTGGGTTAGGTATTATTTAACTATGAGTCATGGGTACTTCTTGGATACTTGGCAGAGTAGCTTGGTATAACTTGGTCCTAGCCATACCAAGAAGGTGGAGTCAAGGCAAAAATGTTCACTTGACCTCATATTTGGCTTTCATTACTGACGGATATCTACGGTTATACCACATTAATGAGGTCTATCTGCAAGTTACTCAAGTCATAAAAAATATTTGAACCATAAATTTGGACAATACAAATCTTCTATTTTGGTACAAATTACTTGAAAAGTTGTAAGAAGACAAAAGCTGCGTCTTTTCTATTCCACGAGAAATAGAAACACTGAAGTCTCTTCTTATTGTAAAAAAAAAAAAAACTGTTAATCATATTTTAGTATGTTGATGTACAAAACATTTTCTTCATTATTTGATGATAAAACAAGCCTAACAAGGATTATTACAACATATATTATTAACTTTTGTTAGGCAATCGGGAAATAGCGACTTATTATATCCGGGTTGACCATGTTACAGTAGATAAGGAGGTCCTGTAAGTTACGGACTCGCTTATGGAGTCCACTGACAAATATTTGTTTTGAGAATACCGATCGGAGACTGTAAATCCAGTTATGGGGTAAGCAAAGAGATACAGTCCCGTAAATGCTTTTGAGAATGCGGCCCTGCTTTAATTAAGTGCAGCTTTGGTGTAGGGGGTCTTGTGAAAGCATACAACATTTTAATAGTTTAATGGCTAAAATGTCTATGTACAATATAAAATATGGACATGGGATTGGTTAATTTTATATAACAGTACTTGTAAGTTCCTGGGAGTAGAGGTACCAAACAGCCAACGGGGCAGGTTTGTTGACTGCTTCAGAGGAGGGTTAGGGTTCATATTTCAAGATTTTACATCACACTTACAATAAATAAAGGGAATTTACTGTAAATAACAATGTCAGCATGGCAGTTCTCTTAACAATGATCAATTAAATATAGACAAAACACGTGTACAGTTGAGCATAAGCTGGATCTTGAACATTCAAAGTTCCTGGTTCAACTCTAACGAAGCTACAGTCACAGGAATCTAATCGTTAAACTCTCATTACACAAATATAATACAATTACACTACCAATGCTCATTAGAGCAATACTGATATACAAAACCTCAATACTGATATAGAAAACCTGAGTAAGTATATCTGCCTTACTGGAAGTCCCAGTCCCGTCTGCCCCTCTCACCGGCAGCCCGGTTGTGGGATCCCAAGCCTACAACTATATTGTGTGGAACTTAATTTGGCTCGTCCTCTACATAAGTCTAAATAATTTTAATACATTTGTCTTAATACATTACATAGAGCATCATATAACAACAATAACATTATACAGTGAGATCTCATATTTTTCATTTTTGAATTTTGCGAGCACTACCTAATGTAACCAAGTCTTATATTTGGCGTAAAATGTCGTGAATTTCGCGAGCTCCATCCAGCTGAACGCAAGGTCCAGTAAGGTGAATGCTGGCCACGGTCTTGAATGACGTCACAGCCCTCATACCAGTTACAGTTATTTCTGCTATAATGCGTATTTTGTCAACGCGAATTGGTTGTAACACGATTGATGAATAGGGGAACTCGAACTTTTGCATACGAATGTTGGCTATAAGACGATTCCACCCTCAACGTTTTAAGTGTGGCGCGGGGTTATGCGATGTTTACAGTTAACGTTCGACATCACATGTTCAATTGATTCGTGTCTTTTGTTTGTGAAGTGTTTTTTGAGAGGTACTTTGTACATTTTTTTTTCCCCAAAATTTATCTCTTTTTTTTTACGGGGATTAGCACACCTGGACACAGGTCAATGACCCACATCAGGGCCTGGAGGCGAAGATGATATAATAATAATAATAATATTATTATTACTAATATTATTCTTGTTATTATTATTAAATCAAAATTGTAGTAATAATAATAATAATAAAGGCTCATATACAGACACCCCCACAAAAGCTCAATAGTGAGAAACGATATACTGTATGTATGTTGTGTTGTCAAAGTAAAAGAAACAATTGAGACCCTGCAATTGTGCGCAAATGAGTCAGAATGTCAGATCAGCAACCTGGGACTTGGTCACAATTTTCGTGATTCCATATAGCAGCAGGGGCTACCATTAGACAACACATTATACTTCAAATATCTTCCCAGGCAGTAGTACCTCCCTGTTTGATAGCTGCCTATTACCTACACAAATACTGTATGAAAAGAATTAAGTAAATAGAATGTTTCGCAGTGAGGACTAATCACGGTTTACACCAGCGCTCTCTGTTTACATCACGTGATCAGTTGAATTGCGCGGTTTTTGTTGATTGCTCTGTGATTTTTGCTGTTTTCTCCAATCTTGTTGTATTAGTGATGAATATGGAAAGACAAGGTAAGAAGAATGTTTCCAAGAAGCGTTCTGGTGATCGAATTGCTGGTGGTGAACGTAAAAGAGGTTTACAAGAACGCAATTATCTCCTTGTAGCCTGTGCCATCCTGGCGACTGCCTGGGCTGCTATTGTGTGCTTTTTTGGGTGGTGCTACCACCTGTCGAGTCAAGATAATGGCCTCTACTGGGGGTCCTACTGGTGCTGGTGGGGGTGGGACAGACCCACCTAGGGGCCAAATAAGGAAAAGGAGAAGCGGGACTATCATAAGGGAGTTAAGTTTGCCAAGTACTCGATGCAGGATAAGCAGCGTGTGATTAAGTTACTTGAGGAAGGCCTTAAAATTAGTTTCCGAAAAGCACAATCAGGTCAATAAAGGCAGAATTTGTATCATTCAGAGGTTAATGTAGAGTGGCCAGTCTATATTGTTATTTTTCCGCAATTTTTCCAGTCTACATTACTCGCAAAATACAAGATCTTACTGTACATCAATATACTTTACATTCAAAACCCAAACATTAAACCCAGCCACCAAATCGAGCACGCATACCAACACACACGTAGGTAACTACTCAACTACTTGTAACAGTACTGTGCTGTACAATACAATAAGTGTGAAAGTATCACAAGCTCAAGGTGACAGTTGGTGAGTATAGTACAGTATCTGTATAGTGTACACCGATGGTTACCAAATGGGGGGGGGTGAGGTGGGTACAGGGGAGGCATGAAGCCATCAGCCAAAATTGGCTATTTCTCTCCGTTTGAATCTTCCACACATCCGTGCAAAACCAAAGAATAGCAGTCACCCCTATCTGTTTTCTATCATTTCATCTCTCTCTCTCCTTACATGTCTTGGACATGTCATGGATACCATACTGACTCTCACTTTCACGCTACTCGTATCTTTCACAACACTACCAGCCACCAATCCTCCCTCATTGAAGTATATACAGTCAACCCTCACTTTACGCGGTTAATGTGTAACCCACAGGGTACCAAGGAAAGTGAGAAACGCGTAAAGTGAATAACATAACATATGGGATTAAATGAAATAGAGACCAGCTGACCCCCAAACTCCACTTTTTCCAACACAATACCTATGTTCTAGTAAAAATAACATCTTAATTTTATGATGGTACATGCACACAATTAATACTTAAGAGAAATAGAGAAATACAGTCGCCAAGTTAATGTCCATTCAAATAATGGACTCCACTCCCTCCCCCTCTTCTCACAGTACACCCTCTGAGAAATTTTTGGGGGAAAACCAGGTATAGTAATAAATAATACCTCAAACTAAAGTTAGGATAATATAATTGATATTGCTGGATTCCTTGTAAGACCAGGAATATTTTGAATATAAATGTCATATATTTTTCACAAAAGATAACATATTTACTCAGAGTAAACATTACATCTAAAATTTGTATGTCTAATGCAAAATCTATGATGTTTATATTCAAAATGATCATCAAATTGTAAGAATTCCAGCAATGTAAATTATATTCTGGCCGGGTAATTTGTATGAATTTTATGAGCTAAAACAAATATCTTCAGTTAATAAAAAAAAAATATTCTTCATGACACTATCTGTCAATCAAAGTACCCCATCTTGCCTCCCCCCTCTTCCAACGAGCCAGATGGTCAGTCCGTCCCAACCCTCCCTTCAAGAGAAAGAGTGGGTGAAAAAACTAGATTTTAACATTTAGTATTAAATAATACCTCAGATTAAAGTTAGGATAATATAATTGATATTGCTGGATTCCTTGTAAGACCAGGAATATTTTGAATATAAATGTCATATATTTTGCACAAAAGATAACATATTTACTCAGTAAACATTATATCTAAAATTTGTATGTCTAATGCAAAATCTATGATGTTTATATTCAAAATGATCATCAAATTGTAAGAATTCCAGCAATGTAAATTATATTCTGGCCGGATAATTTGTATGAATTTTATGAGCTAAATAAAAAAATTATACTTCACCCGTGTAAAGGTGTACACCCACCGCGGAATGTGAGCATCCTGGGTTCTGGCAGGGCACCACGTAAACTTGGAAACGCAGAATGTGGGACCGCGTAAAGTGAGGGTTGACTGTAATTAAAGTCTTTTATACTGGTATTATTTATGTTTTATTTGTTTTCATCCATGTTCACTATGCAAGGAGTTATCTGATCATCAACAATACTAAAATATAATTGCAGTATAATAAAAAATAAAATCTACAGTATGTAGATTTTACATAAAAAAATATGGGGGGGGGGATTTTGCAAAAAGCAAAAGGGGGCATTATGTTAAAAAGATTGGGAGCCACTGGTGTACACAGGAGTATATTTTTCATAAATATACTCTGTGGCTGTTCACTGCAGCTAAGCCTCATGGCTAGTATTCAAGCTAATAGAAGCAGGGTTTTGACTTAATCAAGGTGGGAAACACCACTCTTCAGCCGACCTGGGAAATACTGTACAAGTTGAACCTTACTACAGTGAACCCTTGAAGATCTGGACTAAAAAGGGGACCACTTATCTGAAAAAAACTGATTGTCCGTACAGTACTGCATTTTAGCAGTGAGAATTTAGGGAAAAAATCTGTGTGTTTTCCTCCTGTAGCCATAGTTTTCTTAAAGTAATATATACAGGTCGTACCTCTCTAGTCCGGCATTCTGTGGTCCGGAACGATTTTAGTTTGCCGGTGGAGAAAATTAATTTGAGTGGTATTTACGATGTTTGGCTAAATTTTGCCTTATTTACCCTACTATTTTGGCGAATTACTACCTGTAATAAAGCAACATCTTAATAAACCAACGAAAATAACACAAAATTAAATAAAAACTAAAAACAACACAGAAAAGTTCTTATGTTCTACAGCTTCAGCTAGAGTTGAGCATACTTCATTCGAGTAAAAACACACACAACAACATTGGCTGTCCTTTGTTTTCAACTTTACCACCACTGGTGGGTAGAATTTTTTTTTAATTCAGAAACATTAATTAAAATATATATGAACAGTAAATAAGTGTTGCTTTCATATTCTTATGTAGAGTAATGACGATATGTTTTCACATGTGCACACTTACATATGTGAGCTCACTTTTTCCTTTACCATTAATGGTTAGCTACTTATATTGTTCCATTTATTAACATTAAATAACATTACTTAAAACAACCATATTAATTTTTTACATTAATTTTACAACAGCTACAACCAGGGTCTTATTTTCTTCAGTTTTATATGTAGATCCAGTCAGTCACTGGTTTTGTAATCAACGAAAACAATCCCGTCTCGTTTCCTCGCGTGTTTTAATATTATACATATTATTAATGAATTGTATTGTTCATTTTGCACACATCAAAATTAATTAAATCAAAAAGACATTCGGTAATAAACAATAATGAATCTTTTGTACATAAGAGAAATGACACTGTTTACACGATTTGTGCATGTCTGAACGTTGGCGGGCCACTCAAACCCATTGAAATTCAAGTTTCCGCCATCAAAATTTTAACTTGCGTAGTGTTTTTTTTTTGTGTCCAAATAGAAAACGTTGAATTAAAAACTTGCAAAATTTGAGAACCTACTGTACAACATTTAACCCTTCAATATATCTTCAAAGAGACCACGGAGCAGTGAAAGTGGTGCTAGTGCTTCCAAGCATAAGCTCAAGTCACAATCTATCCAGGAAAAGGGTGAATTTCCATGGTCCGGCACCGGTCAGGTCCCGAGGTTGCCGGACTAAAGAGGTACAACCTGTACAACAAAAACTTATAAATAGCAATAATTAAAGCGTAAAGAGAAAGATAGTAGTTAGTACACACTATATTACAGCGCTGCTTATCCCTAATAATGGTGCACTGCACCACACACCCTCTAACATGTAAATATTCTGTACCAATTATTCTGGCTATTGTGGATATTACTGTACATCAGTTGCACCTGTTACAATTTTGCAATTCTCTGTAGTCTAGAATGAACTGCCACGATGGCAATATCTGTCGTTCAGATGTGACTATATTTTAATAAATATTTTACATGTGTTGCAGATATGTTTACATTTTGTAGTGTTGATTACCATTACAAATTCTGTATTAATACATAATAAAGGATGTTATCCATTTTTCCCTAATAGAAAATGGTGATCAGACACTTGTAAATGATACTGCTGAAGAAGAAATTGCAAAAGAAGCAACAGAGAACTTTACTAATGGTATCAGTAGTGAGATTCTGCCAGTATCACAAGATAATAATCCTTCAACAACTAACTTAAATGGATCCACAAATGCAGATATGCAAGATCTTGGAGGAGACCCGCTGATAAATAATACAGGCACCAAAAGTCCAACTGTGCAAAGAATCTTGGACTTATTAAATGAGATGGAGGCAACCAGTCAAGTTGAACACTGTGGTCTTCAAAAGTTTCACCCGTGTCCTTTGTGCTCAGGGAAGCTCATCACTGTATGAAGTTGTCATACACTGTAATATCATTTAAACAGATTTCGACCCTGGATCACAGCAATACACATACTCTACAAGTCCCCTTTTGTCTGTTTTTCAGAGTTCATCACATTAGAATTTATGGCATGTTATACAAATGTGATTATAGGTAAAGTTTAAAAGATACTAAAATTACCAGCAAAATTCACTTCGAGTTAGTCATTCATTTTCTTCATTGCAGTCAAGAAAATTAGACTTTATTTTCTTGGCAGTAAAATGCATAAACTATTAACCAGATGTTTATGTTGATTTTGTGAGATGTGTCATTCTTTAATATTATTTGTAAAGGTGGTACATTTTATAGTTTGAATTGCTCTGTATTTAATGAAATATTTTTTAATAAAGTATGTCCATATAGTGTGTTGATGCAAGATCATTAACTTGTACTTAAGGGAAGAATTATGGGAAAGTTTTGAAATGTTACTGTAGAAGACCGATGCACCTTGTCATTGCTAGATAGGGTTTTCATAATGCTGAAGAGTTGTAGAGAAGGTATTAATGAGTATCAGGATTGTGAGGTTTGCATTTCCTTGATTTTCAGGCTAATTACTTCTAAAATGTAACATTACAGGCACAGTGTCAATTATGATTTAATAAAAAATAAACTCCAGGTACATTAGTGTTGGACATGCTATTGCAAGATAATATCCCATGTACAGTCACAATCCAAAGTTTCGACTCCCCCTGGTTGGGTGTTCGCCGAGGCCAGGGTTGAGGTAAGGCTGGGTGATCAGACGTAGACGTTCCACCACCACAACACTCCGAGACTCGCAGCACACGAGCATGGAAGGAAGTTTTGAAGAATTTTGACATCTGACATGCACCTGCATAACAAAATTTCATTCATAATATTGTTGGCATACATAACAATTGCAAGTTAGGAGTGAGGCATGAGAAACTTGGGCTGTTCTCGACCCAGTTATGAAATATGAATATTGATAAACATCACGTGTTGATGGACTAAAAGTATCGTGACACTACTACAGACCATGATTAGGACGTCATAGATATTTATAATTCAGGTGAAAAATAATCATATGCGTTACTAGTTGTAATATTGGTGACCTCTGTGCTGTAACTCACAATCGGAGACATTATGAAGTGAAATTTTAAAATTAAAAGCAACAGTAGACAGGAAACTAGGCAAGTGACCAAGAAGTAGTCACTAATGATGACACGCGGTCTTCGGCAAAGTCGCTGCTCCAGACCAAACAAAAAAATTGTCTGGGTGATACCATAATTAATGTGAATTGCAACATTCCAAGCCAAAATACTCCAATGTAGTTACTGATACACCATTAAATATTGTAAACATGACTAAATGAATTCCTAGTATGTGTGAAACCATGATATTCCCAGGGTTATGGTAATATCTATACAAGTATAGGCCTCACTTTGTCGACTGACTGCTCACTCCCTCTTGACGAAATTTGGCCGATGGCCACCCTTTATATATGCTGCCCTGATGATTCATGTGTAATACGAACACTCACATCTAGTGGTTCCAAGCCAGTGTTTTGGGACTGGGCAAAGTTTTTCATGCTCCAATCTTAACATGTTATTGGAAACATAATGTGTTGTCTAATGGTAGACCCTGCTGCCATATGGCATCATGAAAATTGTGACCAAATCCCTGGTTGCTGATCTTACTTTCTGCCTCATACATATATTGTTTCTCACTACCTGTATTGATTTTTTCATTTTTGCATTTCTTTATGGTGCCTTATCATCATTATTATTATAATTATTAGTGTTATTATTTTATATTTAATTTTGTATTTTGTATTAAAAATTTTATTTACTATCAATTATTATTTTATTTTTAATTTTGTATTTTTATTAAATTTTTTATTTAATATGAATTATTATTATTACTACCGGGTACATTTTCGCCCCCCCGCTCCGATGTGGGTCAGTGACCTGTGCCCGGGTGGGCTAACCTCCATCAAAAAAAAAGTTCATGCCATGTCCAAGTTTGTAATAAGTTCCTTTCTGTGCTCGTGTGCTATGAGTCTCGGAGTGTTGTGGTGGTGGAATGTGAACCTCACCATCGTAGTGCCTCGTTATCACATTGCTGAACTAGCCTGTGGCCGATCACCCAGCCTTACCTCAACCCTGGCCTCAGTGAACACCCAGCCAAGGGGGTATCAAAACTTTGGATTGTGACTGTACCTGGCTTACACTGGCATCCCTAAATAAAAGACTATTAAGTATAATATTCTGAAATAACCACTTTAATTGTTAACATTGAGCAATAATTAGTTTGAACTCTTGTCTTGTAATTAGTGTAATTCTAATAGTACAGATTATGTTCCTCAAATATCCAGCATTTGTGTAACTTACAGTAATTACAAGTTCAATGATATGCTTAAAGTAATGCATCTGCAGCTTTGCTGTTCACCAAGATCCTTGTTTTGTTGTGAACTATAAATTATACATTTCATCCTTCATCTATTAGTTTTGAATAAAACTGTCATCTGTATGTGTGAGATCTTGAATCTGTAGCAACCTTGAATGTCTGATATGGATGGTGTGTATTTATGCCTAGTTTGTATGAAAAAATTGTCACTGTATATATATATATATATGCGGACTGATATGTTATCTCCGAAGAAAGATGTTTACAATATTTTTGCATTTAATAGATTGTATGTAGCGAGTTCATTGAAGGCCTGGATAAATCTGTGCCTTGTTTGTTAGTCTTAGAGCTCGAGTGAAGCTATTCACATTTTGGGTTTTATACTGAGCTGGGAAAAATCATACCACTCTTCATCTTGAAATTGCCATTGTTTTAATTTACTGCACTTGATTTTATGTAACACATGTTTTGTTGTAGGTAATACTGTATCTTCTATTTATTTTTGAAGATGACTGCTCAGTTGGACCTCTGTTCATGTAATCCTAACCATTAGGATTGGGGCCCAGTCCTAATTGGCCACATTTTGAGGACCCCAAGCCTAATTGGATAAATTAGATTGGGACCTAGTAAGACTTGGTTCCAGTTTGTTGATATTGTCTAGAAGATTGTACACAGATTGAGCTTAGACACTAATAAATGACTGGTGTCAATACTGATAGCAGTGCAGATTTTGTTATATTTTATACAAAAAGCTTAATTGACAAGAAGCTTGTATAAGCTCCACTCCTTATGAGTACAGGGTACTTGGAAGAAGACTTGTAGGCTGTGATAATTGTGTAATGCAGTGAAGAAAGTGGTATGAGAAAGTAAGGAAATGTGAAGGTGCAAGTTTTAGTTGTGCTGAACAGGAAGACCAAAGAAAGTTCTTGTTTTGGATAATTATATTTCATCTGTTATTTAGGTAAGAAGTAGCCAAATAGAAATTTGGCATTTTGGAAATAAGAAGATCTTGATGACAGTATCAAGCATTTGCGAGACATTTTTACCTTTATTACTGAGTAAGTTTTTGTTTAGTGACATTCTCTCATAGTTTTGTTAAAAAGGCAAGGACAGAAGTCAGGTATCACTAATGATTAAGTTACAGAACTATTAAAAGTGCATTGAACATGAATTTCTTTTTTTATATTATAAAGTTACAGCCAGGTTCTTAATTCTGGACTACATTCAGAAGTTTCTTGTTCAGCCAATACAAAGGAACACTACGGTGTGAGGTACTGTACTATTATGACCTACGTTTCAAGGAGCCTCAGACAAGTGAGCCTACTGCACCAAAGGAACTTGCAGCTTATTCATTAATAAATGGTATATTTAGTAAATATTTCAGTTTTGTGTGTTAACATTCTGCAAGGTGAAAACTGAAACAAATCAAACAAACACTTGTAGATCTATAAATAAGTTTACTGTACTGTGGTAGATGCTGGTCTTGTGCAAAATTAGGCATACTGTACATTATGTTCTTACCACCCTCTATGAGCTTGCATCCTCCCAGGTGAGTAAGATTAGTGCAGGGCAGGTCTGCAGTTTGAAGGACTTGGTTTTAAGTTCACCATGTTGATTAGTACCTCCCATCTTAGCTTGCTCAAACTTCTCCCAGGTTGTAAAATTATAAAATTAGCCTGGATTATTAAAGCAAGTTTCTGGGTCCAGTTTTTGCTTATTTAGATCTGCTTCATAAAAATTTTGTACTTGTTCACAAGAACCTGTCTAATCAAGATATTAATTAGGCCTAGTATCTTATTAAATTTAAAAAAAAATTCCAAAGAATCATGAAAGATGTTCAGCTTTTTATCTGGCTATTCTCTGCATAAAATAAAGCATTTTAAAACATTTATTCCCAGAAAGGTGCTCTGACTTTATTTTATGAAGTTGCTGTTGTATGGTAGATGGGTGCCTGATGTAGATTTTCTATTCCAGTTTATCATAAGATAGCAATAAGCATTTTAAATAAATAGATAAAATATTATTGCTTTTTTCTGTCCTTCATGTAAAAGACACAGATTACTTTTAGGTTAGTGTCTCTGTCCTCATTAAGGACAGCATTCCCCCTCGTTTAGTTTGGATCCCACTGAACTGGTGAATACTGTACAGTACCATTTTTTTTTCAAGTGAAGTGAGAGTTATTCAAGGTGAGTGAAGGAATGCACATCCTATGCACCTGACTATTAGCTGTACTGTACACCATGGTGTATGTGTTGGAACTACTGCACCCAGTCTCCTAAGAAAAACAATATAGACATCTAGAATGAAACATTGAAAATAAGTCTATTCACCCCCAGCTCATGTTGGAAGGAAATGCAAATTTTTAAACATTCATGAACATTTTGTGCATTATCCAGTTTGCTTTTTTTTTCCTTTTTCCCATAAAATCTGACTTCACTCACTTTCTTCCACAACATGCCTATACTGTGTGCAGTCTCATATTATCTTTTGGAATAATGGTATTTCACTTGGCTATTCCTACTAAAACATTGAAAGTTGTCTAATCAGTGTACTTAAAAGTAATGAGATAATCAGAGATGGTGTAACTTGCTCCAGCCAAGCTATTGCCATTGAAGTGAGAAACCCAAAACCTCTAATGCAACTTCATTGTTTTCTTTATACCGCATATGAAAAATTTTTATCCAGTAGTTTGAGATATGATTGAAAAAATTACACATTTTTGGTCACTGAACTTCAACTATCAAGGGCAAATTTTTTATGTGGCACCCCAAGGAATCTCAACAGTTAATTGATTTGCGAATCGTGTAAACATGCCTTTTGATGTCCATGTTATTTTTTTTTAAATATTTGAAATTTTCTGGAGAAATGTGATGTGGAGAAAAATTCCCATGGCACATTTGATGTGCCCTTTATTGAGGAATCGAAAACAACAAGTCCCATCCTCCTATGATGCTTTGTTCCCAAGCCATTGGGAAAAAATATTTTCTTCTTAAACTTTCGATGGTAATGAGGTCCCAAAAGAGTTCACTACAGTACTTACTGTCTACCCAACATGAAGGCACACACTACAGCAAGGTGGTAAGTGAGAGGTTGAAAAACAAATACTGTACAGTGATATCCCCATTAGCTGGAACGATTGGTGCAGAGCACTTCCGGGGATGAGAGATTTCCTGTTAACCAGACCACTTTCTCAAACCCGGAAAAATTCCTTAACCCCGGAATCTTTTTCGGTTACTGGGAAAAGTTTCCGTATACTGCCAGACTGGGGTCACTAATTCTAAGGGGGAATACTTGACTCTTAAAACCACAACCTGTCTTTAGTCCTTCAAATGTTCCTTCTACCTACTCTAGTTCATTTTGGTACTACTTCCAACCACAGTTCTTTTCTCTTGTAGCATGTTGATGGTCTAGGCACATGGGTAGTGTGTGGATTCTCATATCAGGTCATTTGGACGGAAAATAAAGGTAACTTCTGTGGGAGAAATGAATACTCCTAAAATTCTCAAAAGAACAAGTTTATTAATATAAAAATCAAGGAAAAATAGATGTTATTAATATATAACTACCAGGAAGCTCAACCTCGACCTATTGCAGACTCTTGTATTCTTATTTACTTATTTTCTTATTTACTCAACAGCAATTACCAGATATTACACTCTTTTACTGGGTAAGTACACAATAACTGGGTGTCACTCTTACATTATGATCGTGAGTAATTCAGTTCCTTGTCCTTACTCTAACATAATTATACTGATACAAACACCTA